AGTCTATACCACACTAACTCTTAACAAGCATTTTATGCCTCCTAAAACCACAAGCAAAGCCCCGTGTCTCTTCATTTTGGATTCATACAACGTTCTTCCCACAGCATTATTTTTCCTGATTTTATTACTGATTTAGTGAGTGTTAGATCAGTGGTTCTCAACCTGGGGTCCCCAGATGTTTTTGGCCTTCAACTCCCAGAAATCCTAACAGCTGGTAAACTGCTTGATATTTCTGGGAGTTGTAAGCCAAAAACATCTGGGGATCCCGGGTTGAGAACCACTGTGTTAGAATATAGGTTATACACCCTAACAATTGTCTGTGTTTATTTTATATACTGCTTATACACCATATATATGTTTTAAAAATACTCCTCCTGCTATCTTTGTCCTATGTAGGTCTTATTAAAGTCTACAGATCCATACCACTTGATTACTACAGTCAGATTATTGAGGTAGATCTACTCTGTAGATCTACTTGCACTTTGAGGCCAGGAGAAATATATCCCTTGCTTAGACAAAATGTATACAAAATATTACCCAGCTGAGTGCATGTTCTCATCACAAAGGGAACATGTACACATCAAAGGCAAGAAACATCATGCATGTGTCTTCCCTTGGGTTAGTCAAAGTCCTTCTTTACTCTTTCAAGCTACCTACTACTATCTGAAAAATGAAATGTTCAAGAGCTCCATCCAAAATCTTCATTGAGTCAACTACATAATCAGCAAATATCTTAATATTTTGGTGAGGAAAATTGTTAATTGCAAACTAGATAATAACATATCCACGAAGGTTCATGGCTAGTATTAAAACAATATCAAAGAATAAAGATGTTCACCACAGGTTCCTCATCACAAAAACAGAAGAGCTTGAATCCGCTGCTGCTAGACTTTGTCCTTCACAGCCTTGAAGAGTTCTCTTTTATGGACCAAATTTCTCAGTGGATATGCTGGCTGAGAGATCTGGTGAACTGTATTCTGAGCTTTTTCCAAACTCAGGCCCCACATCTGAGCCTCCTGGGACATTTTAATCAATAGCATAGAGCAAGCATCCTCAAACTGCAGCCCTCCAGCTGTTTGGGTCTTCAATTCCCAGAATTCCTGACAATTGAACATGCTCGTGAGGGCTTCTGGGAGTTGGAGGCCCAAACAGTTTGAGGATGCCTGGCATAGAGCAAGCATCCTCAACCTGCGGCCCTTCAGCTGTTTGAGCCTCCAGCTCCCAAAAGCCCTAGACAGCTTGTTCAATGATTGGGATTCTGGGAGTATGCCTGGCTTAAAGCAGGACAATAAGGTCAAACAAACACAGGGACAGTAACATCACAGGTGGCTAGAAAACATTTCAAAACAACCTTGAAAGAATTGAAAACTTGTCAAAGCCAACAAAATAAATATCAACTATAAATTGATTCAATTGTGAGCAAATAAATAATCAGAATCGCATGTATTGAATAGAGGACCTAACAGTAACACAGGATCTTGGAATGATTTTAAAAACCTACAAAATGAATGTTTTCCAGTGGCATTAAACAGCTGAAAAAGGCTAATACAATTTTAGTAATAAAACCCTAGTTTTTAAGTCATCAGAAGTACAGTATTGTATGTTATTGTGCATTAGTCAGTCCTCATTGGGTACTCTGTGCTTTGTTGCTGCAATGATGCAAACTGGAAAGGGAGTACAATGAATGTGGTCAAGAATATGGCCAGTAGAGACAGGTTGAAGGATTCAGACAAGTTTAGCCCAGTAAATAGAAGACTGGAGGAAGATATGATAGCACTCTTCAAATATCTGAAGGGCTGTTGCACAAAGCAGGGTGAGACTTGTTTGCAGCTACCCTGGAAGGCAAGACCACATCTAGAGGGGACAGTATCTCAGTTGAACATTGGAAAAACAGGAAGCATAGTTTGATAATGGTACAAGAGTTACTTTTTGGACTATAACTTACAGAATTTCTGGGGAAATTTAGTTCAAAGACAAATTTCAAGCTCTAATCAGGGTGAAGACACCGAGGAATCACTGCAGTTTGACACCACTTTAGTTTCCATGGTTTAATGTTATGGAATTATAGGAGTTTTAGTTTTATGAGGCCTTTAGCCTTCCTTGCTAAAGAGAGCTGGGGTGCCACCAAACTACAAATCTTAGGATTCCAAAGCATTGAGCCACTGCAGTTAAAGTGGTGTTGAACTGCATAAATTCTAATTAACTGCATGTATTCTTTGTTTGGGGAATGATAAAGATGGGATAGCTTGCCTTCCCTGGAAGTCTTCAAGCAAGGAGGAACAAGAAAACCCTCTAGCTCTGATTCTTCCCTCACTGCCGACTGCTGCCGACCCCAGATGGGTCTTCAAAATCCCTCCTTGGGTTCTGTGTTTTTCGACATGAAAGCTCCAAAATAGGAGGGCTGCTTTAATACTTAGTTTGAGATCCCGTGATGTGGGGAATGTTAAATCTCAGACCGCTCTGTGCAACGGCAGAGAAAATTACAGAGCGAGCTGACACAAGGAAGCAGCTTCTGTAGTTCCCCAAACCCCTATCCCAAAATAATGATGCCCCTGTCCCACATAGGCCTGGCCTCGTTCCACTCAGCCTGGCTCCAGTGGCTTTGCTGGGAGAAGTGCTGACTCGAGGAATACCCAGTTAAAGGCTCCTAAAAAAGATTTCTAAGAAAGGAAGGCCTGCTTTGAGCCACACAGCCTGCATGTAGCAGAACTGAGTCTGAATTTGCCCGCTAGTCACCTGTTCATCTTTTTGCCATCTCATCCACAAAATGAAAGGCATCTGCTCCTTTGGGTGGCACATCAATAGACCCATAAGTGGTCTTCTTAAACTGGGCAAACCCACAGAATCCCAGTGTCATTCAGTAGTAGAAAGTCTGGCTTTCTAACAGTGTTGCTGCTGGAGATACCCATCCCATCATCAAGTGACAATATACTTAAACAGAATCTAGATGGTTATTTTGGTCCATGAGGCAGGAAATCCTACAAGAGCTTCTTCCCCTCATTGCAATACAGAAACAGTAACAATCAAGTCAATAACATAAATTTCATGACACCCAACTACCTGCAGCCTGAGGTGGCTGCTTCTCTGTTCTTTTACTCTGCCTAATTCTTTTATAGTTTTGCCTTCTTGTCATAGGACATGAAGGGATCTGGGATCTTTTCTTAGTTCCAGTCCCAGTTTCTCTAACTTTTAGATATGAAGGCCTGGGGGTGAGGGGACGAAGACCAAGGGTGCACCTCAGTTGTAAAATGAAAGCAGTTTGACATCACTTTAACTGCCATGGCTCAATGCTATGGAATTGAGGGAGTTATAGTTTTACAAGATCTTTAACCTTCTCTGCCAAAGAGAGCTGGTGTCTCACCAAATCCTGGCATTGAGCCATGGCAGTTAAAGCATGTCAAACTCCATTAATTCTACAATGGAGTGACCTTAAACTCTGTTCCACTTTGGAATTCCCTGATTCTGTAGTGCGGGCTGACTTGTTCACAAGTATTTTTTGCACACCATTCAGGGTGGACTCTCAATGTTACTGATAGCACCTCCATCCCACCCCACAAGGTCCACCCACAGAAGCTGATGAATTGTGATGGTTCCTTCACCCATGTTACAAGGAGGGAATGTTGAAAATGAGTGGGGGGGGGGGACCTGTCACAACACATAACACATAATGACAGTTCAGGAGGCTGGGGACCTCACTTAGGTTACCTGAAATATTTTCTGCCAAGAAACACATGTAAGTCAATTTCTCGCTCTGGAGTTTAGTGTTCCTAGACTACCCCATGAAGTATAAAATTATTGAATCACAAGGTGTTCTTCTGTGTATGTGTGTGTCAAGAGCAACTGCAAGTCACTTCTAGTGTGAGAGAATTGGCTGACTGCAAGGATGTTGTCCAGAGGACACCCGGATGTTTTGCCATCCTGTGGGAGGCTTCTCTCACGTACCCGCATGGGAAGCTGGAGCTGATAGACGAAGCTCACTCCACTCCCTAGATTCGAAATGCCAACCTTTGGGTCAGCAGTCCTGCTGGTACAAGGATTTAACAAGGTTAGAAGGGTCCACAAGAGTTACCTAGTCCAATCCACTGCTCAGTGCAGAAAATTCAGCTGAAGCCCCGGCAGAAGGTGTCTGACAAGCCTCTGTCTGAAAGCAATTGGAGAAGAAGACCCTGCCAACTTTCTAGGCAATTTGATCCATAGCCAAAACTGCAATCACTGTCACTGTTCCTTCGGATGTTCAATCATCATCCACCTTCCACTGACTTCAAACCATTAGACCTGATCCCACCTCTCTGGGACACCCCTTGTGGTACTGAACAAGGACAACCCCCCTTCTCTTCCACAGCCTTTAAACCTACACAACATTCATCCAAACTTCTGACACAACAAAGGAAAACCCAGAAGCCAAGAAGGGAGAGGTTTGTACCCAACCTCACCCACACCCTGAAGGTCCCTTCCCTTCACTTTTTGGGGCACTTCTTATGTGTGGAATCTCTTCTGTTCCATAGGTTTTTCTTGGCCAGGTTTGTTCCAAAGAGCCTTCCCCTGAGGCTGAGAGTGTGTGACCTGTCACAGTTGAGCAGGAAATCCTGCCCAGTCTTCCAAGAACAGAAACTAAGAAGAGATCCCTCAAACCGCTTTGCCGGACTGGAATTAATTATCCCCACGGAGTTATCATCTACAGTTTGACTCACCATTTGAACTGCCAGGGCTCCATGCGGCGGAGTCTTCGGAGTTGTAGTTTTAGAAGGCCCTCAGCCTTCTATGCCACAGAGAGAAGGCGCCTCACCAAACTACAATGCCGAGGACCCCATAGCATTGAGCCATAGCTGTGCAAAGGTGCCATGTCCAGCTGCATTACGTCTAGATCAGGCATGGGGCCTGAGGCTATTAGGAATGGTGGAAGTTGAAGTCCAAAATACTTGGAGGGCCCAAGTTGGCCCAAGCCTGGTGTGGATGCATCCTGTCAGCAGGCAAGGTAAGCGAGGAGGCGAAGAACCCACCTGCCTGGCCAGTTGGGGCGCTTCTTTGCTGTCTTGCCGCGGCCGAGAGGGGGCGCCACCAGCTGGGGAGGGGCTCAAGCTCTGCCTCTCTCTGCCAAAGGGAGGACAAGCCCACGGAATCCCTCAGCCCCGGGTTCTGCCCGTGCGAAGCCTCCTGTGGCCGGCGGCAAATGACCGAGGGAGGCGTCGAGGGCAGAGCGCGCGAGAGGGCTGCCCGGCCCCCTCCCCACTCCCGCCGCCTCCTCCTCTCTCCGCCCCGCCGCCAACTCAGGCGCAAAGGGGGCGGGTCCGGAGCGGCTCGGCCCGGGTGGGGCGCCTGGGATCCCGCAGAGGGGAAAGGCAGGCGCGGGGCGCGGGCGCATCCTCCTCCCCTGGCTCGGGGAACGGGACGCCTGGCTTGGCTGGCTTTTGCTTTAGTTTGGCGCCCTTGAGCAGAGACAGCGCCAGACCCGGTGAGACGTGGCTTCCGAGGATTCCAGAGCCTTGAGCCGTGGAAGGGTCCCAGCCCGAGCTGCCCGGGGAAGAGAGCTGGGGGGCGCCAGGGAAGCTGATCTCCACCGTCTCCCGGATCTGTACCGTTTTCTTGTCACCCGTGGGACGGCCACGCCGCCGCCGCTCCCCCGCGGAAACGCGCAGGCAGGGAAGGGAGGTGCAGGCATTCACCCCTTGGCCACGTTTCTACACTTCCAAGGGCCCTTCCACACAGCCCTAGATCCCCGAATATCAAAACAGAAAAACCCACATTATCTGAGTGTGGACTCAGATCACCCAGTTCAAAGCAGGATGCTTTGAGGATGCTTGCCACAGATGCAGGCGAAACGTCAGGAGAATTGCCTCTAGAACATGGCCCTATACCCCGAAAAAACCCACAAGAACCTAGTGATTTCAGCCATGAAAGCCTTCGACAATACATTGTGGGATTTTCTGCCTTGATATTCTGGCATATGTGTGGAAGGGCCCTCCAGAAGAGCCTCGTCTGGGTTGTTCGGATTTTTCCGGGCTGTATGGCCATGTTCAGAAGCATTCTCTCCTGACGTTTCGCCTATTTATTGTCTCCTGACGTTCCCCCCCGCCCCCGCCCTTCTCAACCCCCTAGGACTCTTAAGGTGACAGGCATGTAGTCGGGGGGGGGGATTGAGGGGCTTCAGCCCCCCCCCCCCCAAATTCTGAAGGTGGTCCTGAGAAGGTCTTACTGGTATGTGGCACGGTGGTGTCCTTGTCCGTGCCTGGGCCCTCGGCGCACTCTCTTTCCTTTTCGGCGCCCCTGGTTTCAGCCTTCAGTGCCGGGAGAGGAAGGGGAGTGCGCTGACAACCAAAGGCGCCAAAGAGGATGCCGCTGCACCACAGACTATTCAGACTGCTTATTCATATCATGATCTGATCACCATGCTCAGTAGATCCCATATGTATGGGGGTATTGGGATAACGATACAAAAATGATCCTCTCTCACTCACACTCAGCCCCCCCCCCCCCAATCAAAATCCTGGCTGCGGGCCTGCCTCAGAGGTTGTGAGGTCTGTTGGAAACAAGGGGAATGGGTTTTATATATCTGTGAAATAATGCCCAGGGTGGGAGAAAGAACTCTTCCCTGTTTGAGGTAGGTGTGAATGTAAGAAGCCAGACCTTGAAACTGCTAGGCCATTCAGTGCAAATCAAGGTGGCCAATTGAAACATTCATACCTACCTCAAACAGACAAAAGTTCTTTCTCCCACCCTGGACATTATCCCACCAATATATAAACCCCACTTTCCTAGGGCCTTTCCACATTGTCCTATATCCCAGAATATCAAGGCAGAAAATCCTACAATATCTGCTTAGAATTGGGTGATCTGAGTCCACACTCAGATAATGTGGGATTTTCTGCCTTGATATTCTGGGATATAGGGCTGTGTGGAAAGGCCCCCAGTTTCCAACAGAACTCACAACCTCTGAGGATGCCTGCCATAGATGCAGGTGAAACGTCAGGAGAGAATGCTTCTGGAATAGGGCCATACAGCCTGGAAAATGTACAACAACCCAGTGATTCTGACCATGAAAGCCTTCAACAATACATAGAGCTTCATCTTTTCTTGAGCCAGGAGCCCAGCCAGTACGCTTTTGGCTCCAACATGGTTTTTTGTCGCAAGGACGATTCGCAAGGACGATTATTTGAGCCTTCGGCATGCAAGCCAGGAGGCAGGCTTGATGCTGAGTTAATGTGGTTTGACACCACGGCCATGGCACATTGCTATAGAGTCATAGGAGCCGTAATTTGACAAGGTTTCTGGCCTTATCTCCAGGGGTGTATCCATACTGCAATGGGATCGCTGGAGTTATACTTTTCCAAGGGCTTGAGCCCTCCCTGCCAAAGCCTACTGCTGGTGCCCCAACAAACTACAAACCCTGACCTTGAACCATGGCAATTAAAGTGGGACAAACCTCACTAATTTTGCAGTGTAGAATATGAACCCTGAGAGTCTTAAGAAGCATATACGCCAGGCATGGGCAAACTTCAGCCCAGGTGTTTTGGACTTTAACTCCCACAATTCCTACACCAAGGGTGCCTTTAAAAATATGTTGGAAGGCACTTTGGATTTCAGCTCTATGAGAAAGGTGTGATAGAAATCTAATAAATGTGACACATAGTTTTCAAGAGTTTGGAAAAGTTACTTTTGGAAAAGTTACTTTTTGAACTCTGGATCTCCACCTAGGCAGTGTTTTTAAAATTGTAGTCCATTCTCTAGTTTATATACAGGGAAGCCGCAGTGAGTATAGGCTTGCCATCCCCTCAACTGGTCTTATTTTCCAGTATTGCTGGTGGGGCTGGGAGAGGAGGCTCCCCCACCCACACACACACAACCAGAGTGGGGCCTCCTTTTTTGCAAAAGCTCTATGACCCCAGTATTTGCTGTCTCCATTGTCCATTCTTGGGCCTCCTTTGCAAGAGTGTCTGGGGGTGGAACAGGCACCGGGACCTTCTGACCTTGCATTCTGCTAACAGAGGCCCAGTCTTTGGCGCAGGGTTCTGGGAAAGTTCATGGCTGCTCTTGCAGTCTGTTCTTACTGTAAGGCATTCTCTTTGCCTCCCACACTTGGACATGGCCCTTCTCTCAGATGTTCTCCCCCACCACAAGCCTCGCCCAGCCCTAGCTTCCTGCAAAACAGGTTGGTGGCCGGAGATCCCTCTGAGGGCCGCTGAAGGGATCAGCAGAGCCATGGAGGCTGCTGCCTTTACTGCTTCTTAGGAAATCCCTCAGTACCTCTGTGACAGCTCTATAGCTCTCTCCTGACTCATCCTTTTTGTTATACATTTTAAATAAATAACAGTAACATTGCTCCATGGATAGTGTATAGTACAGATAAAGATTTTCCCAAACTGCTAGTAACAATTGAAAAAGGTATACTAGCTTTCAAGGTAGATCTTCCATCTTTCCATGTTTCCATCTCATGCAAAATTTAAGTCAGATTTTTATTTTTTTAAACAGGACAACTGTTCCTTCTGTTTCTAACAGTTCTGTTCTCTCTGCCTCTAAGAGTAAATTGAAACTACTTGTTTGTGAGAACAGGAGGAAGAGAGAATATATAGCCAAAGTTTGTTATTTTAAAAGGTAGAAGTATGTATGCTATAAATATCAGTATCTGAGCTACATAGAAGAAAAATGAATGCAAATGCAAATAAGGGATGTCACTGTGCAGAGAGCCTGTTAATCCTAATAAGTGGAATACTAGACATTAGGCCTGGGCGGTTTCGTTCGTTAATTTTGTAATTCGTTAAATATTCGTTATTTTTAGCAATTACGAAACGATTACAAAACACATTTTCAAACCCGGAAGGGTTTTAAAATAACGAAACGGCATCCCCCATACTTTTAACGAGCTTCCGCCCGTTTCGTAAATGGGATGGAGGATGCTGGTGCCCTGGGAGCCAATCCGGTGCTCCCAAGCACCCAAGCAGTGCACCGTGGCTGTTTCTGATTGGCCGGCAAGCCCTTTAAAAGCGGCTCCGCGCGGCCGTACAGCTCATTGTTGCAGAGGCGAGGGAGAAGAGAAGAGGTCCGGGAGGGTGGCTTCTGCATTGGGTTGGCTTGCAACTGGCTAAGCTTGGATTGGATTCATTCCTTGCTTATTCATTCCTTGCTTGGATTCATTCCTTGCTGCTTATTATTAATTCCTTGCTTGGATTCATTCCTTCCTTCGGTTTTTGTCAATTTGTTTGTTAATTTTCCATTTTTAATATTTTCTAAAAATACCTGTCTTTTATTCTTAAAAAAATCAAAAAATATTCTAAAAAAAGAAAAGACTCTTCTGTTGGTGTGTGCTCTCGTTTGCCCTGTCTCGTGGCTGTGTTTGGTCCACATCAGGGCCAGTTTTTGGTTAATTTTCCATTTTTGAATATTTTTTAAAAATACCTGTCTTTTATTCTTAAAAAAAACAAAAAATATTCTTAAAAAAGAAAAGACTCTTCTGTTGGTGTGTGCTCTCGTTTGCCCTGTCTCGTGGCTGTGTTTGCTTCATATCAGGGCCAGTTTTTGGTTAATTTTCCATTTTCTGAATATTTTCTAAAAATACCTGTCTTTTATTCTTAAAAAATACAAAAAATATTCTAAAAAAAGAAAAGACTCTTCTGTTGGTGTGTGCTCTCGTTTGCCCTGTCTCGTGGCTGTGTTTGGTCCACATCAGGGCCAGTTTTTGGTTAATTTCCCATTTCTGAATATTTTCTAAAAATACCTGTCTTTTATTCTTAAAAAAATACAAAAAATATTCTAAAAAAATAAAAGAGTCTTCGGTGGCTGTGTGTGCGTTTGTCATTTGTGTAGTTCCAACCAGTGCGCTCCTTTTGCCAACACAAAGTGCTACATACACTGCTCGCTCATTTGTGTAGTTCCAACCAGTGCGCTCCTTTTGCCAACACAAAGTGCTATAATACAGTGCTCGCTCATTTGTGTAGTTCCAACCAGTGCGCTCCTTTTGCCAACAGAAAGTGCTATAATACAGTGCTCGCTCATTTGTGTAGTTCCAACCAGTGCGCTCCTTTTGCCAACACAAAGTGCTACATACACTGCCTCTTGTGTAGTTCCAACCAGTGCGCTCCTTTTGCCAACACAAAGTGCTACATACACTGCTCGCTCATTTGTGTAGTTCCAACCAGTGCGCTCCTTTTGCCAACAGAAAGTGCTATAATACAGTGCTCGCTCATTTGTGTAGTTCCAACCAGTGTGCTCCTTTTGCTCATTATTTGTGTAGTTCCAACCAGTGTGATGAAACGCTTCCTTCCCGGCTTTTCTAGTCGCAAGGGCCAAGTGCTATCGCGAATACCGAAGAAAGGCAGGGGACTGAAGATGAACACATTGACAAGAAGGGAACATTCATCCAACGAGATGGTTATTGAAACACCCACAGATGCTTCAACCAGCTGTGAGATGGCAGAACCTTCTTCTTCATCAGTTCGAAAGACTCTACGTTCAGATCCTGATGTCGTTCCAAGTACCTCTGATATTACTTGTTATGAAGAGGAGGGCGAGGAGGCGGACGTGTCAGAGGAATGGGAGGAAGACAAGATGGAATGTGCTTCCACCACAGGAATTAGTGA